ATTGTTTGTCAGTCTAGTTTGTATTGTTTGTACAGTTCATACGTTTGTAATGTTTGTATGTTTTGTCGCTCTAGTTTGTACTGTTCGTATATTTGTATGGTTTGTACTGATTGTAAATCCGGTTTGTATACTTCGTAATTTTTCATAATACCCAAACTACCCCTGCTATTAATTAAATAGCCCTTCCCACTTTTTAACCATTGGATTGAAGTGTCCAGATCTAATGGCTAGGAGGGACTTAGTCAAGTGACTAAGCACCCCCCCTTAGTCACCAGATCCGCACTCCCTTCAAAATCCAAAGAAAATGGCCTTTTGACGCACACAAAATTACGAAAATGCCATCCGAAAATAAATTGGCCCAAATCGGTGCTTAATGGACTTATCATCCGTGGAGAATAGGATCAATAGACTTCATTATCGGTGGAGAATAGCCTCGGCCTGATTCCGTGATCTGTAGCCTCCAGAATCGAAAGAAAATGGCATTTCGGGAAAATCGCCCAAAATCTGTGATGGTACCCCTTTGCAATCTGCCCAAAATTGACCCGTAATAAATTCGCCCAAATCTGTGCTTAATGGACTTAATCATCGTTGAAGAATAGTCTCAGGCCTAATCCTTGACCTGTAGCCTTCAAAATCCAAAGAAAATGGCCTTTCGACGCACACAAAATTACGAAAATGTCATCCGAAAATAAATTGGCCCAAATCGGTGCTTAATGGACTTATCATCCGTGGAGAATAGGATCAATAGACTTCATTATCGGTGGAGAATAGCCTCGGCCTGATTCCGTGATCTGTAGCCTCCAGAATCGAAAGAAAATGGCATTTCGGGAAAATCGCCCAAAATCTGTGATGGTACCCCTTTGCAATCTGCCCAAAATTGACCCGGAATAAATTCGCCCAAATCTGTGCTTAATGGACTTAATCATCGTTGAAGAATAGTCTCAGGCCTAATCCTTGACCTGTAGCCTTCAAAATCCAAAGAAAATGGCCTTTCGACGCACACAAAATTACGAAAATGTCATCCGAAAATAAATTGGCCCAAATCGGTGCTTAATGGACTTATCATCCGTGGAGAATAGGATCAATAGACTTCATTATCGGTGGAGAATAGCCTCGGCCTGATTCCGTGATCTGTAGCCTCCAGAATCGAAAGAAAATGGCATTTCGGGAAAATCGCCCAAAATCTGTGATGGTACCCCTTTGCAATCTGCCAAAAATTGACCCGGAATAAATTCACCCAAATCGGTGCTTAATGGACTTAATCATCGTTGAAGAATAGTCTCAGGCCGAATCCTTGACCTGTAGCCTTCAAAATCCAAAGAAATGGCTTGTCGACGCACACAAAATTACGAAAATGCCATCCGAAAATAAATTGGCCCAAATCGGTGCTTAATGGACTTATCATCCGTGGAGAATAGGATCAATAGACTTCATTATCGGTGGAGAATAGCCTCGGCCTGATTCCGTGATCTGTAGCCTCCAGAATCGAAAGAAAATGGCATTTCGGGAAAATCGCCCAAAATCTGTGATGGTACCCCTTTGCAATCTGCCAAAAATTGACCCGGAATAAATTCGCCCAAATCTGTGCTTAATGGACTTAATCATCGTTGAAGAATAGTCTCAGGCCTAATCCTTGACCTGTAGCCTTCAAAATCCAAAGAAAATGGCCTTTTGACGCACACAAAATTACGAAAATGCCATCCGAAAATAAATTGGCCCAAATCGGTGCTTAATGGACTTATCATCCGTGGAGAATAGGATCAATAGACTTCATTATCGGTGGAGAATAGCCTCGGCCTGATTCCGTGATCTGTAGCCTCCAGAATCGAAAGAAAATGGCATTTCGGGAAAATCGCCCAAAATCTGTGATGGTACCCCTTTGCAATCTGCCCAAAATTGACCCGGAATAAATTCGCCCAAATCTGTGCTTAATGGACTTAATCATCGTTGAAGAATAGTCTCAGGCCTAATCCTTGACCTGTAGCCTTCAAAATCCAAAGAAAATGGCCTTTCGACGCACACAAAATTACGAAAATGTCATCCGAAAATAAATTGGCCCAAATCGGTGCTTAATGGACTTATCATCCGTGGAGAATAGGATCAATAGACTTCATTATCGGTGGAGAATAGCCTCGGCCTGATTCCGTGATCTGTAGCCTCCAGAATCGAAAGAAAATGGCATTTCGGGAAAATCGCCCAAAATCTGTGATGGTACCCCTTTGCAATCTGCCAAAAATTGACCCGGAATAAATTCGCCCAAATCGGTGCTTAATGGACTTAATCATCGTTGAAGAATAGTCTCAGGCCGAATCCTTGACCTGTAGCCTTCAAAATCCAAAGAAATGGCTTGTCGACGCACACAAAATTACGAAAATGCCATCCGAAAATAAATTGGCCCAAATCGGTGCTTAATGGACTTATCATCCGTGGAGAATAGGATCAATAGACTTCATTATCGGTGGAGAATAGCCTCGGCCTGATTCCGTGATCTGTAGCCTCCAGAATCGAAAGAAAATGGCATTTCGGGAAAATCGCCCAAAATCTGTGATGGTACCCCTTTGCAATCTGCCAAAAATTGACCCGGAATAAATTCGCCCAAATCTGTGCTTAATGGACTTAATCATCGTTGAAGAATAGTCTCAGGCCTAATCCTTGACCTGTAGCCTTCAAAATCCAAAGAAAATGGCCTTTTGACGCACACAAAATTACGAAAATGCCATCCGAAAATAAATTGGCCCAAATCGGTGCTTAATGGACTTATCATCCGTGGAGAATAGGATCAATAGACTTCATTATCGGTGGAGAATAGCCTCGGCCTGATTCCGTGATCTGTAGCCTCCAGAATCGAAAGAAAATGGCATTTCGGGAAAATCGCCCAAAATCTGTGATGGTACCCCTTTGCAATCTGCCCAAAATTGACCCGGAATAAATTCGCCCAAATCTGTGCTTAATGGACTTAATCATCGTTGAAGAATAGTCTCAGGCCTAATCCTTGACCTGTAGCCTTCAAAATCCAAAGAAAATGGCCTTTCGACGCACACAAAATTACGAAAATGTCATCCGAAAATAAATTGGCCCAAATCGGTGCTTAATGGACTTATCATCCGTGGAGAATAGGATCAATAGACTTCATTATCGGTGGAGAATAGCCTCGGCCTGATTCCGTGATCTGTAGCCTCCAGAATCGAAAGAAAATGGCATTTCGGGAAAATCGCCCAAAATCTGTGATGGTACCCCTTTGCAATCTGCCAAAAATTGACCCGGAATAAATTCGCCCAAATCGGTGCTTAATGGACTTAATCATCGTTGAAGAATAGTCTCAGGCCGAATCCTTGACCTGTAGCCTTCAAAATCCAAAGAAATGGCTTGTCGACGCACACAAAATTACGAAAATGCCATCCGAAAATAAATTGGCCCAAATCGGTGCTTAATGGACTTATCATCCGTGGAGAATAGGATCAATAGACTTCATTATCGGTGGAGAATAGCCTCGGCCTGATTCCGTGATCTGTAGCCTCCAGAATCGAAAGAAAATGGCATTTCGGGAAAATCGCCCAAAATCTGTGATGGTACCCCTTTGCAATCTGCCAAAAATTGACCCGGAATAAATTCGCCCAAATCTGTGCTTAATGGACTTAATCATCGTTGAAGAATAGTCTCAGGCCTAATCCTTGACCTGTAGCCTTCAAAATCCAAAGAAAATGGCCTTTTGACGCACACAAAATTACGAAAATGCCATCCGAAAATAAATTGGCCCAAATCGGTGCTTAATGGACTTATCATCCGTGGAGAATAGGATCAATAGACTTCATTATCGGTGGAGAATAGCCTCGGCCTGATTCCGTGATCTGTAGCCTCCAGAATCGAAAGAAAATGGCATTTCGGGAAAATCGCCCAAAATCTGTGATGGTACCCCTTTGCAATCTGCCCAAAATTGACCCGGAATAAATTCGCCCAAATCTGTGCTTAATGGACTTAATCATCGTTGAAGAATAGTCTCAGGCCTAATCCTTGACCTGTAGCCTTCAAAATCCAAAGAAAATGGCCTTTCGACGCACACAAAATTACGAAAATGTCATCCGAAAATAAATTGGCCCAAATCGGTGCTTAATGGACTTATCATCCGTGGAGAATAGGATCAATAGACTTCATTATCGGTGGAGAATAGCCTCGGCCTGATTCCGTGATCTGTAGCCTCCAGAATCGAAAGAAAATGGCATTTCGGGAAAATCGCCCAAAATCTGTGATGGTACCCCTTTGCAATCTGCCCAAAATTGACCCGGAATAAATTCGCCCAAATCGGTGCTTAATGGACTTAATCATCGTTGAAGAATAGTCTCAGGCCGAATCCTTGACCTGTAGCCTTCAAAATCCAAAGAAATGGCTTGTCGATCAATCCAACCCAAAACTTCTAAAGACATCCAAAGTTATATTAATTCAATAAGTATTTTCTCCAAATTTGAAAACCTTGAAGTCACAAAATTAATATAATTGTATAGTGCCAATTTAATGTGATAAACTTCAGTTTGATACCATTATTAAGTTTAAGAATGAAAAATACAAATGTGCAACTGAAAGTAAATTTATGTGGTTTAGTTGCAACTACAAAAATTAAGTGATTGGTATGCAATTAATGTCTATTTCCTCCCATCGGAACTCGGTCACTCTCAAGTCTCACCAGCGAAAGCAAAATCCCCCGAAAAGCCCCTATCTTCATCGCCGGTTCATCCATCCACCTTGGCACCTTGCCGCAAACAATGTCGAGAGCTCTTTGTCTCCGGCGTTCAATCCACCACCTCCTCAACCGCCGTGCCTCTCAAACCCATTTCCACCGCCTTCCCCGACAAAGCCGCCGATCCTTCCAAACCATCACTACCCATCAAACCCTATTCGCACATTCTCAACCTCCTCCCCCGCGTCGGCTTCGTCCGATACACAGCTCTCGTGCTCTTCTGCGGAGCCGCCACTTACCTCTCATTCCCCTTCTCGGAGAACGCCAAGCACAAGAAAACCCAGCTCCTTAGGTACGCCCCATTGCCCGAGGATCTCCACACCAACATTTAACCGTTATAAAATATATACAAAATATTGACCGAATTGCTGCAGTTTGGGCTTTCTCAGTGTACTGAGGGCAATAGATTCGAAGAACCCGATGGGCTTCTATAGTTGTTGGGCTTTGGATCAATGCAAGCCCAGAAGCTGGCAGATTTTTAGCAGTCCGCCTCCCGAAATCACAGCCAATTTCCCTCCCCATTCCCGTCTGCTTCCGGCGAGAGCAAAGCAGAGCAAGGCGGCCTCCCCCTTCTGGCGCCGGCGAATCAGAAACCAAAGCAGCTACATAGAGAGTGTTAGAGAGAGAGATAGATAGAGAGAGATGCAGAGACTGAAAGGTGGATTGACGAGAACAGTAAAACAGTACTGCTTGAATAGAAATGGGATGTACTGTAATCCCCACGACCACCGGAGCTTCTCTGCTCTCCCCAACTACGCCGCCGTAAACGATGCTGATCCTGAAGACCAGGTTGAGTCTCCGTTTCCATCGTTTTGTCTCGGAAGAAAACGAGAATGAACTGTGAAGTTGAGTTCCTTTTTTTCGTTTTCCTTGCATCGGCAGGTTTTGGTGGAAGGAAGAGCAAAATCAAGAGCTGCAATCCTCAACAGACCCGACACTCTCAATGCACTTACTGCTCCCATGGTTTCCTTCTATCTAATACACCCTTTCATTTTCTCCTTTGCTTGTACGAAGATGGAATTTTTTCAATTCACTCTTTTGTCCATGAAATTTGGCAGGTGGGTCGGCTCAAGAGATTGTACGAGTCGTGGGAAGAAAACCCAAGTATTGGGTTTGTGTTAATGAAGGTATAGCATTATACTACTACTCATCGACCCACTATTGCTATGAGATGAACGTTTGCATTTCTCTGCTGCCACAAGTTACATTTTAAGCTTAGTGCATGGTGCACGCAAGATGTTTGTGGAAATGTCTCTGGCTATATGTCTTCTGTTTACAAGTAGTGGTAGACTGGTAGTATGTAACTTGGTTTCTTTGATTTTTTGAAGGGTGGTAGCGGCAAGGCCTTCTGTTCCGGTGCTGATGTTGTTTCCCTAAGCCAGATGGTTGATGATGGTAAGCCTCCCGGATTTGGATATTAGCAGCATTGGTTGCCTACAAAGGTCGCTTCTTTTGCATATTACTTGTAGTTTGCGCATCCTGCAGTTCAACTTTCATTTATCCGGTCAGATTATGTGATTATCCGATTTTAATATTTCTTCCCTTTCCACTGATGGTAATGTAGCTGATATGGTTTGCCACCATCTTAAACTATGCAGGGAACATTGAAGATTGCAAACGATATTTTGAGACGTTGTACAAGTTTGTCTACCTACAAGCAACATATTTGAAACCACATGTGAGAAAATTTGATTCTTTGTAAACAATGTAGATTTATACTCGCCTTTTGGCCGTAAATTGAGATTGTGAACATTCTGCCAATTCTCATTACTTATGCAGTAAAACGAATATAGTAGCTTCCTACCGAGCCACATTCTAGTCTTGATAGTCAGTTTAGGTGAACTTTTATCAATACCTATCATCTGATCCACATTCTTGCAGGTAGCTATTTTGGACGGATTCACTATGGGATGTGGAGCTGGAATTTCAATTCCCGGAATGTTTCGCTTGGTCACTGAGAAAACTGTAAGTAGCCTTTTGTACAACATTTTCTTAACAGCTTCCATTTGATAGTAGTTTGTTCACGTCTATCTCCTTTCATTGTAGTCGAGACCTGAAACAGTATGAATACTTTCGATAAGCTCCTCATTGGCTGAAATGTCTCAACTGTAATGAAGTGAAACTCATGTGCACTGAAATGTCCCAACTGTGGAAAATTTTGCAGATTTTTGCTAATCCCGAGGCTAAAATGGGATTTCATCCTGACGCAGGAGCTTCGTTCTATCTATCTCGCCTGCCGGGTTACCTAGGTAGGTGCAATGTTCCAAACAGAATCTAGCTTTGGCACAACAGACGTCCTAAATTAAATATTAATCTTCTTTTGTTTCAGGGGAATACTTAGCCCTCACTGGAGATAAGCTTAATGGGGTGGAAATGATAGCGACTGGCCTAGCAACTCATTATTCATTGCATTCAGTTTGTTCTCTCAGTGATTATTTTTAATAGCATACTTAACTTCAGTTTCTGTCCCTTTTTAGCTGTGATTCCATAGTGAAAACATATTGTCCACAGAAACTTGCTTGGACTGAAGACCGGCTTGGTAATTTGATAACAGATGACCGTGATGCCATTGAAACGTCTCTCGCACATTATGGTGTCATTGTCCATCCTGACAAGACGAGCGTCCTTCATAAGTATTGTCTTTATCCATGTCCTGATGTCTGTGTTTTATATCCGTTTTCCGGATTGCATTAATTGTTGCCTCTCTAATGTGAGTTTTGAACTCAGAAATGAGCAACACACATTTTGAGCAAATCTACTGTTGTTTGTAACATTTGTTTATAAATTTTTTGCTTCAGGATAGAGATAATTGATAAATGCTTCTGTCGTGATACAGTAGAAGAGATTATTGATGCCCTGGTAAGCATTTTATGGTATTTTAGCTACAGTGTTTGTTCTTTCTATGGGGCAGCCGGTAGCCTTGTAATTCTAAGCATTGATTTCAACAGGAAAATGAGGCGAAGACCTCTTACAGTGAATGGGTTAAGGTAGCTCTTAACAGAATGAAAGAAGCTTCTCCACTGAGCTTAAAGGTCACCTTACAATCTGTAAGTCAGTACTCTTCTGAACATCAGCAATCCCAATAGTATAATGCATTGCACTCATGATTTCTTGTCCATATATGATATATCCCTTTTAGATACGCGAAGGTAGATTCCAGTCTCTTGATCAATGCCTCTCTCGTGAGTATCGGATTTCAATAGCAGGGATCTCAAAAAGAGTTTCCAATGACTTCTTTGAGGTACTGTTTCTTCCATCTTTCCTTCACATTATGCCTCGGATACAAAAAACACACTAATGACAGTATTCTGCCATTGTTTAGGGTGTCCGAGCTCGGTTAGTGGACAAGGACTTTGCTCCAAAGGTACTGACAGTTATTCAATTGAGATTCGTGAATGCAAGCCATATTTGTCACTGTTGTTCTTTATTTCCTGTTGAATTGAACAATTAGTAATGGAGGTCAATGATGAAACTGCAGTGGGATCCTCCAACATTAGCGGATGTGAGTACAGACATGGTGGACAGCTACTTCTCACGGCTTGATGAATTCGAGCCTGAGCTGGAGCTCCCAACAGCAACCCGCGAGCCATACATCTGACTATCTGAGAAAGGGGATTCTTTCTAAGGAAAAGACAGCACATCAGATATCGACCTTGTTCTTAGACGAAAAATGCTTGTTGATGTTATAGAACCATTTTATGTATAATTTACTTTCAGCCCTGGAACGTGAACTTCAAACTACTGGTGTCTTAAATTTTGCTCCTTGACAAAAATAAACCGCGCATCTAAGCATAAGATTTAACAGTGTACTTATTGCTTAGTCGCATGGATAATCAGGCAGGACAATAAGGTCATATATAGGTGATTATTGATTATGAAGCATGCAAGAAAGTCAGTTATCTAAATGAGTCATATTTCTATTTTCTACCCACCATACTTGGTTAACAGTATATCTTTGTTAACTTGGAAGAGTCCACAAATAGGGACGTAAATGTTGAAAAACTATAGTACAGGGATGAAAATAAACATCAATTTTATTTATTTGAGCGTGTTCGATAAATACCTAAACGGACGGCGGAGACAGGAAGTCGATAGACACTGCTTACCGCCGCCATAAATATATATGTAAAATCCTCAAATCCATTTTTACCAAGAAATCATCGGAGAGCCGCTTAAACCCTCCATTGCTTTGCTCCCCAGTCCCACTACCTTCCTTCTCCCACAAAGTCTCAGTCTTTGAATCTTATCCGTCTCGGAATAGAACCTCTTCCTTCTCTGCCGTCTTCTCTCTCTTGGTTGGTCTCCGTCAGTCCCTCTGCTTCAGGTGAGCTCGCTCTCATCCCTTCCCTCTGCCAAGTTTCTCCCTTTTCCGCTCCATTGATACTCGCCTCATGCTTTTCTTTTCTGGGTAATGATTTTTCTGCAATGGAACCGATGAAAGAACATTATGATTTCTGAAAGCTGCTAGTACTGTTTTAGCTCAGAAACTGGCCTCTCTGCTTCTCTTTTAATTATGTGGAGGAAAAACCAATAGGGTTTAATTTTGATCCAGAGGTTCCATCCATGTGTGTGTTGCGTTGCAGGATTCAAATGCGGTAAGAAAAGCTGTGGGCTTGGTTTCTTGCTGCAATGCCGGCTTTAACTTCAACAACCAGGTTGCTTGTTCTAGCTGGAAACTCATTGCCTTCACAGCAATTGACGTTACTTCCCGTTACTGTATCGACATGGGGCCATTCGGTCAGGTTCTTCAGTCGAGTTGCTAAAGAACACCATGGCCCTCTCACTCTTGCTAGCGTGGGATTCAGCAATCAGCTTGATGCAGCAACAGACGGTGTTGGGAAGCAAAGTAAATTTGAGAAGAATGTGAAACTGACAAGGTCACCTGTTGATAATCCAAGGAGTAGAGTGAAGCCGGTTGTTAAGGGGAGGACATCAGTTGATGATATAGAGCTCCAGGCAACAACAGACAGCGATGGAAAGAGTAGAAAAGCTGAGAACTATGTGAAATTAACACGATCTCCAGTTGACAAGCCAAAGAGTAAGGCCAAGCCGGTTAGTAAAGTGAGAGCATCGGTTGATGACATAGAGCTCGCTCCGTTTTCAGCGAAGTCATTCTCCGAGCTTGGCCTGCCACCATTGCTGATAGAGAGATTAGAGTCTGAAGGCTTCAAGGTTCCAACCGATGTGCAATCTGCTGCAATTCCAACTATCCTAAAAGACCACGACGTTGTTATACAGTCTTACACTGGGTCGGGCAAAACATTGGCGTATCTCCTTCCTATACTATCCAGAATTGGACCACTGAAGGATGTCAATTCCTCTTCTCATTCTAAAGACAATGGTGGCGGCAAGAAGAGGAATGACATAGAAGCAGTGATTGTGGCACCATCTCGAGAGCTCGGAATGCAAATCGTGAGGGAGGTCGAGAACATCTTGGGACCTGAAAACAAGAGAGCTGTTCAACAGCTCGTTGGTGGTGCAAACAGGTCCAGACAGGAAGAAGCTCTCAAGAAGAACAAGCCAGCAATCGTAGTGGGGACGCCTGGGAGGATAGCCGAGATTAGCGCAGCTGGCAAGCTTCACACCCATGGCTGTCGTTTCCTGATCCTGGATGAAGTCGACGAGCTCCTCTCATTCAACTTTCGAGAAGCAATGCGGAGGATACTGGATCACGTTGGAAGGAAATCAGAGCGTCGCACTGTATTGGTCTCTGCCACAGTGCCATTTGCAGTGATAAGAGCTGCCAGAAGTTGGTCGAATGACCCAGTTCTGGTTCAAGCAAAGAAAGTAACCCCGCTGGAATTGGTTTCTCCGTCTGGACCGGTTGATTCAACACAGCCTGCATCGGATTCAAATCCAGGACCGTCAGAAAGCTTGCCTCCATCTCTGAAGCACTACTATTCTGTGGTGAAGTTGCAGCACAAGGTGGATGCTCTGAGGAGGTGTGTCCATGCGATGGACGCTAAGTGTGTGATAGCCTTCATGAACCACACTAAACAGTTGAAGGACGTGGTGTACAAGCTGGAGGCGAGAGGGTTGAATGCTGCGGAGTTGCATGGAGATCTTGGGAAGCTTGGGAGGTCCACAATCATGAAGAGGTTTAAAAATGGGGAGCTGAGAGTACTTGTGACGAATGAGCTGTCGGCAAGGGGTTTGGATGTACCCGAATGTGATCTCGTGGTTAATCTGGACTTGCCTACCGACTCGGTCCACTATGCTCATCGTGCTGGCCGGACTGGGAGGCTAGGGAGGAAGGGCGTCGTGGTGAGCATTTGTGAAGAGTCGCAGGTGTTTGTTGTGAGGAAGATGGAGAAGCAGCTTGGTGTGGCAATTCGTAGCTGCGAGTTTACGGAGGGGAAATTTGTCACCGATGGAGAAGAGAGAGAAGAGAGCACGATGGATGATGCCAGTGGTTCTGAGATGGTTCAGCAAGAAGCTTGTTCTCCATGAAATGGAAGCTGTAATAACGTTGCAGTGCTCGTGTTCTTTTGTGTTTTCTAACTGGAAATTCATAGGGAGATACAACTTTCTGTAAACAAGAACAAACGGATGAAATTACGCCTAGTTCAAACTGGCAAACCGTGATAGCCATAAAACTGTATCGGCATGGTGGTCTATGCGCTGTTCTTACAGGTAATGTTTTCTAGACACGACGTTTTGCAATTCCAGAATAGAAGCAGCTCAGATAACAACATTGTCTCTATTACGTCGGGATTCCACACTCTCAACTATCAGGCTCCCCACCTATCTTCAAAAGTAGCGATAGAGGAACGCCACTCTGAACTCCCCCTACTTGAATGTCTCCTTCGATTCGATGGACTTCTTGTAGGGGATCGTTCCCTGTCCGAATTCTGCTCTAACCGCTTGGTGCTTACATCATTCCCACCACCATCATTATCACCATCCAAGTCCTCCTCGTCATGACCACCATGCCATCCTCTTTTCCCATGCTGTCTTCCTCTGCTTTCCCTCTCCCGCTGATAATCAAGGTCGTTGGGATCATGCAGTTGTCTATCAAGCTGATCATCATCATCCTCCACTTCTCTGGACCTTGTACGAAAGAAGGTATCGTCGAGATATCTCATGCTGTTATTTTCTCCTTTTCCCTCCCTGCCATTTTGAAGATCTATTCTGCTCCTTTTTTTGCGACTTGGTTGCCCGTTTCCGGACCCCTTCTTCTCATTATCTGAAATCACATCCTTATTATCATTCCTTTTCTCCTCGTAGTGGTTTCTCGAACTACGACTTCTTGATCGGCTGCTTCTTCTGCATTCCTCCTTGTTGTCGATGTCCCTATCTGACCAACCCTCTTCTTCAGATGTAGAATCTAGCCTTCTGCCAGAATGATGATGGTCTTCAACTAGATTTCTAGTTGATTTCTTTCTATTGTCTACACGTCTCCCCTGCCATGCACTTTCATGAGCATAGTTGTCCCTATCTCTTCTTCTATCGGACTGATGTCCAAAGTCCCTGGACATGGATCTTCTGGAACGCAACCTGGAATCAATGACATGTTATTACTTATTACCGGGTGCAAAATAAAGCTTAAATATTTATAATACTCTACTTATGTCCAAGGTCCATAGATTATCTTTGTTCAGCTGAGAGAAATCTAGAGGGGTGTACCTTTCTCTATCACTAACATTTGCCTTGTTAGATGCCCTCCCTATTTTCTCTTCCTTGTGTTCATAACTCTCGGCGTCTCCAGAGGAACCAAATAAAGCAGTCATCTTTTCCACCCAAAACCTTGGTGGAGGTTTGTCCCAGTCTGCCCATTCATAGTCTCCACCAGGATTGCGAAAACAGTGGATAAAGTTGCAAGCATTTCCACGAGAACAGTTCTGTCAGGATTCAGATGGATTTCAATTTGCTGGAGGCCGAAAACTGATTAAGGAAGAGGACGGCTAGACAAAAGAAACCAGCTAGTTTTATACCTTGAGCCTCGACCTCATATACTCCCCACATATGGCTACCTTCCATCTGGTGATATTAACGAATTCACAAGTAATCTGCACAAATTAACAATTTTACATCCCCACTTGACAACTAAAAGATAAAATAGAAGCATCTGCTAATCCAAATAATAACAAAAAGAGGCTCTTTTCAGGAATGAAAGATTATTACCAGAAGACTCCGAATTACTGGACTCTAAATTTCAATTACCCCTTGTCTAATTCAGGCACAATGCTCCAAGTACCCTTTCTCAAGTCAAACCTACTTATCCCATCATAACTTTCTACCTTGGAAATAGTACCTCTAAAACCTTGAAATAGTACAACTACCAAAACTACTATTAGCCAATATAGCAACAGGGAACATAAGTTCATTGTCGACCAGTAGGACAAAATCACAAAAGCACCAATATTTTTTTCAATAGCCTCTTTTGTTCTGTACCTGTTTCCCAGCAAAGTAACGTCCATTGATGGATTCATAGGCAAGTACAGCTGAATCCAATGACTTATAGTGAACATACACATTTCCTCTCAAGTGGGACGAACTGTTTCGACAAACCTGCAAGATTTAAAATATGGTTGTTCAGGAAGAACACCGGGAAAGATACCGAGAATGAAACTTGCTACTGTGCCTCAGTACAAAAGCTTCCTCTCATGTCTTATTAAAATTAAATATGAATCCAATCCATCCATGCAAGTGTTATCAAAATCCTAAACTTTGACCCTTTGCAGGGGCTGAATGAGCCATATTGGTTCATAAATCCTACGACACCAAAAAGGTTGGAAAGTAAAATTCCAACAAAATCAGTTGAATAAACTGATTGAGTCTGTTAAAGATCTAAGCCTTAATGATGACAATACAAAATCCAGAGTGAAAAACAGAACACAGAATAGCAGTTTGGACCTTGAAATTCACTATCTCGCCATACTTCAAGAACTCTGTATGCACATCCTCGTAGAATTCTTCGTAACTGCGTTCAATCTCTTCGTCTGTATACTGAAAGCAGAAAATTGGAAATGAAACCAAACATTCTCCATTTGTAAATGTATGCCATCTGTTAGAAACTAACCTACGGAGCTTAAAATAACCTAGCAAAAATTAAAAATCTCTTATGCTGATCTAAGCTAATTGTTAAATGTAATACTCCTGTCTAACAATGTAGTCTAATAGATTTCAGAAAAGAAGCAGTCTAGTGCAGCCACAATATAATGGTCTAAATTATGCATAAATAATATATGTGTCAAGCCATTAGCAGAAAAATTCAAACAACTTCCAGTTTCCCTCAACTCATGGATAGTCAAAGAAATGCTCACGTAGTCCAACTTCATCCATGTAATCAGTCTTCAGTGCCTCCAAGAGAAACCCAGACAACTAATAAACTGTCAATGGCCAAAGCTCCAGAAACGAGAATCCCAAGTGTTCCAGCAACTAACACTCGTTAAGGAGAAAGAACCCAGAAAGATATCAACCTTAACACTAATCATCAATTATGACGCAGAATTGAAATAGCAACAAGCAAAAGACTTGGTATGAACACTACAACACAAGTTATAACAACAATGGCATATGCAACCAGCTAAAGAAATGCAAGTTTATGAGGACGAAATGAAAAGTGTATTTTAAAGCAAAAAACAAAGCAATCCATTATGCAATTATTAATGTCAGCCTGTGACATAAATGTCAAATTAATTCCAGTCAAGTGGAAGGATACGTCATAAGGAAAAAACCTCTGTTGATATAAGTGGTAGGATACGGGGACTGCGAAGCCTAATTCTGCATCTAAGGTTAGACTGAAAATATAGAGGACTAGAAACCAAATGGTCACTAATCATTTTGAAATGCCCTCTTTTTCTCACATGTTAGTGTGGTTTCTAATATTGCCACAATACACACAAAAATTGGCTTCACAAAGCAAAACCACGCATAGAGATTTGTCATTCTTATTCATTAGGATACATGGATCACATGAAGTCAGCATTAACAGACCTCAAGTCCTTCATCTTGTTCCCAAGCAAGGCCAGGACCACTGTACATATTCTTGATAAGCAAGGTACATGCTTTATCTGGATAAAAATGTACCCTGCTGCAACGCTGACCAAACCGGCAGACTCCAGTTTTTAAATGGAATGGACAGTGAGCTTTATCCTGTCATCAGCAGGTAAGTTCAAAGAGAAACCATTAGTTCTCTTTGATGATTGAAGCGGGTAAAACTGAACACTGTCACCATGATCAGTAATAATTCACAAACGAACAACAAAAAACTCTACCTGTTCAGTACCGAAGTTTGGTACTTGTTGAGCAACATTCTCAAGCATCTTTTGTGCTGAAAGAGTGGAAGCCTCAAATTCTGGCGGAAGAGGATTAGAAGTAGGCCTATTGGCATCCTGTGAACTCTGAAATGCATCCATTGAGAACCAAAATGGTAAACCTCAAAAGTCATGTTAAATATACCCAAGTACCCAACCAAGTATTGCTTCTACCTCTTTCCTTTGGGCATCCGCATTCTTTTTAGGAACTCGAACCCTTTTTTTCTTGATAATTATCTCATTTCCTTGCCAGATAATTTCAGCTGGCCCTTCTTCTACATACTCCCAATTACTATCCACATCACATCCATCCTCAATTGGAGTCTGCCAGGGGTACAGAAGCATTCAAGTCAGGTAACAAGAAGGAAAACGAAAATGCCAACACCAGATTGCAAGACGATTGACCAATCCGGGATTCGAATAAACCCAAAGACAAAAAGGAAGAGAATAGAGGAAAGTTACCTCCAATCTTCTCTTAGCATCCTCCTCCTCTTCTTCTTCAGCATCTCTTCTCGCCTCCTCTTCCGCCTTCCTCTTCTGCTCCATCTCCTCCAACAACTTCTTCTCCCTCTCTTCGAACTCCTTTCTATCTCGTTCCATTCTCAACCTCTCCTCTTCCTCCATCTCCTTCAACCGTTTCTGCTCCTCCGGGTCATTCATCCTTTTCTCTTCCTCCTCTCTCTCCCTCGCCGCTATCTCCTTCCTCATCTGCTTCCTCTTCATCTTCTTCTTGCCTTTCCTCTTTTCCTTCCTACTCGCCGCCATAACCATTGCCTTCCCGTCCGTCGCCCCTCCTTCTAATTGCTCTTCCTTTTCTCCTTGTCCTCCCTGTTCGTCACCAACTATCATCCGCTCTGCCTCCGCCATCAATCGGATTTCAGTTTTCCGGCGAGTTCTAGTTTTGATCGGCCAAATTGATGCAGATGAATTAGCTCTCCTCTGAAGACTCCATTAGAACGGCGACGCAGTGACTCCCCCGACTGCGAATATATATACGGTTCACATCATAAATAAATGGCGGCGTTTCTTTTCCTCCTTTTCTTTTTCCAGTTGTGGTCCTCATACTTTTCCTTTTTTATTAAGGGCTCCTTATACTTTTGAGGATTGTAGTGTAACACAGCAACAGGGACCTTTATGGCCAAAATTTAAATTTCTTCCACATGATGATGATAATACATGGGAGTAATTCAGCTCAGTGACAGAAACATAGTTTGATAGGAATCAACATATGTAGCCTATGTTTCACCATTGCAGTTTTCAGACTTTCTCTTCTTATTTGGAGTGCAAGTATCACTTCTGGGTCTGGACTCGGTGTCTTGTGGCTGAAGCAACTCGTTTGAGTCAATCTTTAGCGAAGCCACAGCTGCCTCTGCATTTGCTGGAGACTCTTCTGAACTCATGCACTGTGATTCATCCTCCACTCCATTTTTCACATCGTGCACTACGATTGTCACTGTTGTTGCTTCTGCCTCCGCTTGGGCATCCTGGCAACTATTGTCGTCGTCTTTGCTTCTCCCTCGCCTTTTCGAAGACTCATTCTTCGATCTTTTAGCTTTTACTGATGCTGATGAAGAAGGTCCAGGTTTCTCATAGTTCAGCTGCGAAGCTCTGTCTGCTGTAGATGGTGGCCTTGAGTAAGTAGTACTAGTAGTTGTAGTCTCCTCATCTGTAGGTCTTAACTGAAGATGTCGAGTCTCACCAATCAACTCCAATACACGGTTGCACACGGCCTGAATACCTTGCAGGGTTCGCATTGCTTCGTCGCTCGAAAAGGAGTCAAGAGCAGTGGTGCACTGGGAATGGATGTTTGTCAAACTCTGAACCTGCAACAATAGAACCATGTCACCCATATCTCATCACCTTCAAGATAGAAATACTTGCAACATGTAAGCTATTCATTGCAGCTGAGCTCATACTAGTAAATGGGATGTTCCACTAGCAGGCTGAAAGCACTTATGCGATCTTTGAGTTAAGGGGGTTATGAGGCGACGAGTAATTCTCCTGTACCACTCCATGTAAGGATCATGATACTGCATGGGTCCCTCTTCCGGCTCCCCGCCAACAATGGTGGCCTCACGAGCTTCCCATAGATTGAGATACCGTCGATGGTAATGCTCCCAGTCATGGGTATGCTTTCCTCGTCTATCGATTGCATGCAGTTTGGAGTCCGTATCACAGTGCTCAGGAATCCCTTGCCGGAGACCAAACTGGCGTAAAGCTCGTTCAGGGTGGTGCCATTCTATAATGTCAAAGCAAATGAGAGGAGCAACTGTTCGCCAGACTTGCTGATCTCTTAAGCATATATCAGGTAGTGTGGCTAGTAGTTCAGATGTGTATGGCTGCCATATCATCTAAAAAAGGAACAATTGCATTACAGTAATCAATATCTTAAATAAGTAAGCATCATAATACGGATTACACACCTGATCTTCTGTTTGTTGATCGATTTGGTCTCGATACAAGAATAATGCTCTGATTGGGTTATCTCTGCGAATCACAGGAGACCTCCACCTGAGACAAAAGTCAGATTAAGAAGAAAATTAGAGGCACGGGCTATCTACATGCTCCTATGGCCCATGACATCCATTCAACGTCCCACACATACCTAGATCCTAATGGACCAGGTGATAATGGATCCTCATTGATTCTGGCAGCCGCAGCAACAGACAGCTCCTCACCTAATAACTTGCTTTCAGAAGCAGATGCAGTGTGCATCTGCACACCGAATTTCTCAGGACGGCCAAAATGCCAGTGCTCCCATGCCCATAACTGTGGAAGAAAAGTTTTTAAGGGAATGCTTCCTTGCACCTCTACAACTTTACTGATAGTACATTAAGGATACCAAAAGCTTTTCACCTACCTGCAACAGAATAAGAGGGCCAGACATCTCACTAGCACCCGTCTTACTAGCACGACAGAGTTCCCTATAAAGAAACGCCAACGTGGCACTGCCCCAGCTTAACTGTCCAGTACATGATAAGTCCCTCAGCAGAGGAAGGAATTTCAGCTGGATGGCTGATCCAGACTTATCTGTGAAAAGAACGCCACTAATCAAGCCTAGAAGGTACGCCCTAGCATAACGCAGTAATGTTTCTTCATCAGCATCAGGTGGAGGCTCCCTTAAGTGGGTTCTTAACCAGCTGAGCTTGACGGTTGAACCATGAAGAACGCCTGGATCTGGTTTAACTCCCAACAACTCTTCACAGAGTTCATCCCACTGAAGGTCACTTTTGCCTGTCACAGCAGGACCATGTACCCTAAGACCTAGCAGCACTGCAACATCCTGTAGGGTTATGGTGCTCTCCCCAACTGGTAAATGGAATGTGTGTGTCTCCTGTCTCCATCGTTCGACTAATGCAGTCAGCAAAGGCCAATCTAGTGGGATAAACCCAAGCTTATGAAACTCGTGGAATCCGGATTGGATCAAATACGGACGAAGACGTGGATCAAATTTCCAGTCTCGCATCATTGAGCCAGACATCTGTCTGCATTTCACTACACCAGGGTCCTGAAAATTTCAAGCAAAAATACTAAAAAAATGGTTAAATACATCCTACCCCAATGCACTTGAGACTCAAAATACATCAAAACTGTTGATGGAAAATGGTATATGTGCTCAATTGCGTCCTGTTGTCAGTATTAGTTTCCCATTCCCATATATACCTAAACCAAACGCATCCCACAATCAATGTACCATAACAAACTCAAATAGAAAAAGTACTGACTTGCCCATTCCATATAGCTTCAGATCTATGTTGGCCCTGTAACACAAGCACGGATTTGTCGATTGGCCCAGGATCCAAAAAGCTATAAGCACCAGCATTCCATTCGACTGCTTCTGCTGGTCTCTACAATGCAAGAAAAACACTATTACCTACTGGAATCCATAGAACATTATAAAAAATAAATTCTGTTTGCTTACTTGTTTCTTGACATCCCTTGATCTGCCAGCAGTACCCTTTGAAGCACGGCTCTCTCCTCTGTGATTATCAACAGGTTGTAGCCCATTCTCATTGGTCTCAACTGAAGCTACACCATAACTGCAATCTAATGCTCCAACGAGTGCTTGCTCATCAACTTCTATCGCCATAGCATCATCACTTAATAACTGATTATCCTCAGAGAACACTCCAACTTCATCATTCACTTGCAGCAGCGCCTCAGCACTGGCATTTGCTTGGTCGTCTGTAGTGATTGGCACTTTCTCCACATACAGTTCCAAGCAGTTAGTGTCGGGCTGCCGAGCGACATCGAAAACGATATCTATCGACTCGTTGTCCTCTATGGGGACCGGAATGAATTCTCTGCAAGCTGGATACCGACAAATGATCTTCAGAGCAAACTGCAGCTTGTCGAATCCTGTGATCATGTAAATCTTGTCGAGCAATTCCTCGTACGTTATCTCGCAGCCGACCCTAGTGGGCTTCGGTGTAGCTCCTTCGTAATGTATCCCGTTTGGTCCATTTGCCATCCGCCCGTTCCAGTAACACATCAAAGTAACACCTTGTCTGGAAGTCGTCATCTTCTGCCTACAAAGGAGAAAGGGACGAAAAACCATTGTCGAAAAAATCAACAGCTAAGGAGATGGAAGTGAAACAAGAAGAGATTTTTTTATATACCAGAAGTGTATCACAGCTTGCAGAGCTCGTCTATGGCGGAAAGGCGCGCGCTTTAGGACCTAGCAGGGGGGGGGGGAAATGAGAGAGCCGCTAACTGCGAAAGCGAGTGTCCGTTGGAGTGATGACTGAAATCGTTAGGGTTCTTCCAATTTCCACTCTTTAACCAACGAGATCCACTAGAACAAGATGGTAGCTGATTTAGCGGGTTCCGTAAAACGCAAGCGTCACAAACGCAATACGCTGGTATAGGAGCGGGACTACAGGGATAAGGTGCCACCACGTGTACCAACGTTTTCCCACGAACCAAACGGTATATTTTTCCTCGTCGGGGGGTTTTTTCGTTCTCCCAACATCTCTCGTCCAAAATCGCCGACGGGGATTTTTCCGATTGTTTGCTTTAGTTGAATGAAGAGAGCGACCAACTGAACGGGGACAATTAGGGTTTTTATTTTGAACTAGGAAGGGTAATTTTTATTTTTTCCGCGATGACGGCGGCTGCGGCGGTTGCTGGTTCGTCTTTCGGGTTAGTGAACAGAGGCGGCGGCGGCGGGGGAAAGAAGGTGCTGATAACGGGAGTGAGCCGAGGATTGGGTAGAGCGCTGGCAGTGGAATTGGCGAAGAGAGGTCATACAATAATCGGGTGTTCGCGAACTCAAGATAAGCTGAATGCGCTCACCTCCGACCTCGCATCCTCCGACCGCCACCTCCTCCTCAACGCCGACATCGTAAAAATTCTTCTGCCCTTTTCTATTTTCTTCCCCCGCTTGCGTTTCTTTCAACATTTCCGGTTCCTAATTACTTGTGATCGATGTAAAACCAGAGGTCCGACAGTAGTGTGGCAGAACTGGCTCGAGAGGTAACGGAGAAGAAGGGCGTTCCTGACATCATAGGTTTGTTCAATTTCTCATCATTACTCCATTTCAGGAACTAGGGAATTTTCATTTCACCCCTACGATTTCTTGATCTCGTTGGTTAAATTTTGGGGGGGTGTTGCAGTGAACAATGCAGGAACAATTAACCAGAACAACAAGATATGGGAGGTGCCCCAGGAGGAATTTGATGCTGTGATTGATACCAATGTGAAAGGGGTAACAAATGTGTTGCGGCATTTCATCCCTCTAATGCTTCCCAACAAGCAAGGGATTATTGTCAACATGTCCTCTGGATGGGGAAGATCTGGTGCTGCACTGGTACTACCCATTTCTTCTTCTTTCTTTCTCTCCTGCATTTATGCAGTTCTATAGTACTCAGAAATGGAAGTTGAACCTCCCAAGCATGGTATAGTTAAGTAGGGTTGTAAGTTTCCATGAAGATTTAGTGCAGAAAGCTGAATCATTGAACAACCTTTCAAGTGATTTATACTTCTGGGTTGAGATGCACAATCAATATGTTCTATGAAGCTGAGACTACTGAGGATTAAGCAGATCTTTGAATTTAACAGCACAACTGGAAAAGGGTAAACCTTCATTTTCATGGATGAGGATGGAGTATCCAAATGCCAAAGTGAGATAGGAGAAATAAGAGAGCAATTGATAATCGAGGAAAGCCAGTTCGCATATCTTTTGTTTATAGTGACCAAAGTCTATTCATCTTAAAATTCATCTTTGCTATACCGTTTGTTTGTCGCAGGTTGCACCTTATTGTGCATCGAAATGGGCAATCGAAGGCCTGTCAAGATCAGTGGCAAAAGAGTTGCCTGATGGGATGGCAATCATTGCACTCAACCCAGGAGTGATCCACACAGACATGCTTTCCTCATGCTTTGGCACTTCAGCTTCTCTTTACCAGGCTCCTGATACATGGTATTCAACTCTTATTTACAGTCTCACCAGACCGAATTAATATCTGATAAAGAATTCAATGCCAAATTATCAGAAGTCACCCTTTCAAAAAAAATCCCTGTTCTGACGGCCATCTGTTTGATTAATCAGGGCAGTGAAGGCAGCTACCATGATTCTCAATCTAACTGGTGCAGACAATGGCGCTTCTCTCACAGTGTGAAAAACTTAATGGGACTACAGTTTGCTTGTCGAAGTACTTATATTTAGCTCAGATAATTAGACCATGTTTCTTCTTAGGCGATTCTTTTTCTTCATCCATCTTGTAACTGTGTAGAAGAAAAGTGCTTCAGGAACCCTATGCAGTAGATGTAATTCAAGCCAACTTTTGCAGTAGGCCTTCTTTCTTGGTCAAAAAGTTTAGACAAAACTCCATCCAGTAGTCTTCTCTATACCCTGTTCCTTCATCATCTCTCTTGCTTGTTCCGCCTCCTTCCACTTTCCAATGGAGCTATACATATCAGACAATAGTACATAGTATCCATCGTTTTTCGGATCTGTCTTAATCGCTTGCTTTGCTATCCTTATCCCTGTCATGATGTCGGCATGAATCTTACAAGCGCCTAACAAAGCACCCCAGACGCCACCATCAGGACAAATGGGCATTGACAAAATGAACTCTTCAGCCTCAAGTAAACTGCCTGATCTTCCAATAAGATCCACAAGGCAAGCATAGTGCTTAAGATTTGACCTCACAGAATGCTGTTTCATTTTCCCAAATAGATGCTTCCCTTCCTCAACAAGGCCCGAGTGTGCACAAGCTGAAAGGAGAGACAGGAACGTTAGAGAATTTGGCTTGATTATGGACTGCTCCTCCATTTGCTCGAATATCTCAATTGCAGATCTCGCATCTCCATGCATTGCGTACGCCGAGATCATAGCATTCCATGAAATGGAATCTTTGACTTCCATTGAGTTGAATATTTCTCTTGATTTGTCCAGTCTACCGCATTTGGCATACATGTCGACTAATGCAGTAGCAACAGATACATTTTGCTCGCAGGTCCTAATCAAACAGTGAACCTTTTCCCCTTTCTGAAGGTCAGCAAGATGAGAGCAAGCAGAGAGCACAGTTGCAAATGTGGCGGAGTTAGGGTTAACATTTTGCTGCATCATTTCCTCAAACAATGCAATTGCCTCCACAAAACACGTTCTGTGACAGTATACTCTGATCATTGTGTTCCATGAGACAACATCTTTATGAGCCCCACGAAAAATGCTCTCCGCAGTGGCCAACTCACCGTCCTTTCCATACATGTCGATGAGCGAATTGACAACCGAGTTACCGTCTTCCATGAAATTCTTGATACTATAACAGTGGAGGGAGCGGCAAAAGGTGGCAGTTGCTCCCATTTGGGAACACGCAGAGATAACAGACACCAAGGTATTGGGATCTGGTTTGAAACCCAGGTTTTGCATCTCTCTGAAAAGTTCCATGCAATTGTCTTCCCTTCCCGCCTTGGCATAACCACAGACCATGGAGTTCAAAGACTCTTTATTCTGTTTGTTTATCCTATGAAAGAGCTTCTCTGCTGGTCTTATAAGTCCCAACTTGCAGTACATAGATAGCAATGCATCAGTGACCATCTGATCTAGGGTAAAGTTCCTCCTCGTGATGGTACAATGCAAAGCTTTTCCTTCAACCACACTCGATGAATTACCGAACCCCAGAAGCATGCAACTCATAACAATCCCATCTGGATTTAAGCCAGCAGCTAGCATATCCCAAAACAAGGACATGCAGTCATTCATAAGTCCCAGCCTAGCATGAATTCCTATAATTGATGTCCATGAGAATAGGTCCTTATTGCCCACTTCAGAGAAAGATTGGAGAGCTTCCTCGACACTTCCAAGCTTGCAATACATTGACAAAAGGGAAGACTGAATAACTTGCGAACACCAAAGTCCAGTTTTGACTGCAAAACCATGCAAACACTTTCCTTCGACCAAAGTACCCAAATTCCCACAGGCTTGAAATCCTCCTTCGAGTGTCCTAAAATTCATTCTCTCTCCATCAACATCATTCCCATGCATCTCACGGAGACACTCTAGACCCTTTTCGCTCTGACCATTCTGCACATAACCGATTATAAGAGCAGTCCATGATACTACATCCCTTTCAGCAATTTCATTGAAGACAAGAGATGCATCTTCCATGATCCCACACTTCGCATACATGTATACAAAAGAGGACCAGACTGCTGAGTGTCCCATGAAAAGGCACGACTTTGTCACTAACCCATGTGCAGTTTTTGCCTCATTCAGCCACTGAAGCTCAGCACAGGAGGAAACAACCATAGGAATAGTGAACTGACTGGGTGATGCATTATGCAACCGCATCCGGATATAGAAGTCAAATGCCACAGCATAATTACCATTCGAGAAGTAAGAGTGGATAATGGAATTCCAAAGAAAGGTGTCCTTCTCGTCGACCAGCTCAAAAACTTGCCTGGAGCAAGGGGTTTGGTTGAAAGCTGCATAGAAAGAGATGAGCTTTGACGATACAAATACATTCCTTGCATTTCCAGTGGTGATAATGAGAGCATGGGATTGCAGAAGCTGCTGCAGAGTAGCAGGGGTTTGGTTGGAGAGAAAGGAGTTTATATGAGAGCTCAAGTAATCTGTAGCTGACTGACAAACTGAATAACGATGGATCGATGAAATAGCACACTGGTTGAAGAAGAGATGGCAAGGAAGTTTCCGTGCAAGCATTGGAGGGATTGCTTTTGATTTCCCATGATTGAAGCTTCAGATATATAATAATTGAACTCTTGGCATCTTCAATTTCTCCACCGCCATTCTGTGCTAACAGCCTAACAAATCTGACCACCAGAACACACAGCCCTAATACACTATTCTCGGATGACAACTGGCAATTCCAAGTTGAACAAGAAGAAAAACGGAAAGGAATCAATTCTATTGTATCTCAGAGATATAGCCACAACACGTGCTAGTGGTCACTAAAAAGATGAGAGCTAGAGCATTTCCTGTATGAGGGAAGCTAATATTGTGCAACAGACCCAGTAAATTTTGTTCAATCAGAACCTGTTCTAACTACGGGAACAATGGAGAACTAACCAACTCGGGTATAGATACTTTCACAATACCAGGAACAGGAAGAAAGAAAGAAAACCCCAAAACAAAACAAAAAAAGTTTCCCTTTATCAAGAAAGAAGATACCTTTTGCAGCGTTTTCCGAACTTTGAATGCGCTGGCTGGCTCAGTAATTCAGAAGAGGGAAGGTATTTTACAAGCGCGCCTGCGGATGGGTGCGCTCGGTAAGGGAGGGAGGTTGAAGACGAAAATTGGCTGTGTGGGAGTTTGGAGTTGGGATACCACCATACTATACTAAGCATTGAATGTAAACGACATCGTTTCGTTTCGTCCTGGGCTCCAGACTTCTGGGCTCCTAGCCCAACCCAAGAGGAAATATCCGTTTATCGTTGTGTTTTTTTTTCTTGCATTTTTTGTTTTTTTTTTCACCCACTCACTGGTTCTTTGTTTCTTGGCTGTTGGGGCAAGCGATTTGACGTATTTTCTCCAGGGTTCAAGAAGGCGCGCCTAGGCGCACGCCTAGATTCAATTAGGCGCTAGGCGGTGGAGGATCGCCTTGACTTGGCCATAGGCGTTGTAAAAGGCGCTAGTAGCGCTTAGTAGGTAGGAATAGCGCTTAGTTTGCGCCTAGTGGAGAGAAGGCGTGCCTGGTCGAGCTTAGGCGGTTAAAACCAATACTCTTCGTTTTGTCCTAGAAAATCAGAAAATTGACTCTTGCCCTAGAAAATCAGAAACACGGGAAGGGGATGACCATGCTATGTATGTATTCGTAGATGAGGATGATGAATCATATTGTGCACCCCCGAGTAATGTTACAGATGCAATGGCGGGTGAACAGAGTGAGCTTCGCAAGAGTGCACGAGTGAGTGAGCTCCATGATGAAGAATTAGAGTCTGAAGAGGAGGAAGAGGAGGAGGATGGTGAGTAGATTGCTTTTGAGGATGATGAAGATGAAGTGGTGGCTGGACGAACCTACTTGGATGATGAAGAATGAACATTTTCCTATGAACTTATTGACTATTGTTTAGTAATTCGATATTTTATGAACTTGTGATTCTAGGAAGTTGTCACTATTTGCTTGTTATTTGTTATGTTAAGTGTGTACTGTTAAGAACTAGGTATTGCTAATTTCATATGCACTTGGATTATATGAATTATTCCAGAAAACAGAAAATATTTGAGATCTTTTTCCATTTATGCTCTGAACGCCTAGGCGCGCCTAGGCTACACCTAATCAGGCAAGGCGCAAGTCAGTAGCTGAGCGCCTGCCTTACGCCTAGCGCCTTTTAGAACCTTGATTTTCTCTGTAAAGAGCTTACAGTGATAACTTGTACTACTGCATATATTTACATCTGAATACCGAAAGGATCCAGGTGAAACAGCAAGACATTATTAACTATACTCCTAAGCACTGCATCAAGCGACAGTAACTAAACTAATCATTCTAAAAAGGCACTTGACCACCAGTCTTAGAGTGCAAACTAGACATTCTTGCTCCTGTAAGCATCCAAAATGAAGTTAGTGCCATAAATAGACGTCTGCCGCGTTCATGGCATGTAAAGAGCCATGACCTGATTCTGTACTCAATTAGCAGGCTTGAACCCACCAGCCTCTAACTTGGAGGTGTACTCAAAACATGCATGGGCATGTTTACAACTCAACTCATTGGTTCCAACTTCCAAGTTGAGGACCTATGTGAAACCGGCTTCTGGGTTCATGATAGTTAAAATTTTACCTCAGCATGTCGTTGCTGTATAATTGCGGGCCACTCAACGCGGGAGAGATGCTGAAAGCGTGGCTGTTCGTGGAGAAGGAAGGGTGCGAGAGAGGCAATGGCCGATCAGGAACCGGTGGAACTTCAATATCCCCTTCCAACATCTTCAATGCATCTGAGATACTAGGCCTTAAAGCAACCATAACATGAGCACACAAAATCCCTACCAGCACAAATCTCTCCATTATCGCCTTTGGATTCGAAGTCGAAGAATCCTCACCACCACCGCCCCTCAACAAGGAAGGATCCAGAGCTTGCTCTAGTTTCCCAGCTTTGACTAGCGACCAAGCCCAGTCAGTGATCAGAAACCCATGTGCAGAACCTGAAGAAGACATATCCAGTGCTTTTCTTCCACACATGATTTCCAGTACAACCACTCCGAAACTATAGACATCGCTCTTCTCGGTTAACTGCCCGTACAGGGCATATTCCGGAGCTAAGTAGCCGTGAGTTCCAGCCACTCTAGTAGTAAGATGAGACACCCCTTCCTGACTCTGCTTGGCCAAACCAAAATCAGCCACTCTAGCCCTCATGTCGCCATCTAACAGTATATTAGTCCCTTTAATGTCCCTGTGGAAAATGGCAGGCTTCACTCCATAATGCAAGTAAGCTAACCCTTTAGCCACATCCATAATGATGTTCTTCCTCTGAGGCCAACTCAATGGCTCCTTCCCTGCTGCAGGAAACAAATGATCTTCAAGATTGCCATTCGGCATGTAATCATAAACAAGCAACCTCTGACTCTCTCCTGTGTCATGATCCTCTCCTCCATCAATCACACAACAACCTCTAAGCGGCACCAGATTCCGGTGCTTGAGATTGCTGATAATCTCAATCTCATTCCGAAACTCAGCATCGCCTTGAAAGTCAGACTCCAAAACCCTCTTAACAGCCACCGTTGTCCCATCAGACAAAACCCCTTTGTACACAATTCCAAACCCTCCCCTGCCAATAAAGTTCTTCTGCGAAAAACCATTGGTTGCCCTCTCAAGATCACGAATTTTGAACCAGATTGATCCAGTATTCGGCCTTAATCTCGGCCTAGCTCGCCGTCCCTCCACATCAGAACCATTACCAGACCCCTCCTCCATTCTTCCCCTCCTCTTCCTATTCAAAAACCAGAACCCTACCAAACCAGACATTACAATCACAGCAGCAGCAGTGCTAGTCAACCCAATCACAAGAGGGAACCGAGATTTACGAGCTGAAGAACCCAGTTTGGAAACCAAATCCAACCCAAATATGCACGAGACAGCACCATAACTCTCCGGCCCGAATCTGTTGACAACCCCAGCAGCGTACAGAATCGCGAAGTAGAAGCAACTCGTGGCGTGAGACTTATCCCCATCAATCGACACCAACGAGGACTGAACCCTGAACCCAGCCGCCACACACGAATCACAAGCGGTCAGATCCGTGAGGTCGCCTCTACAAGCCGCGTCGAGCGGCGTCGACGGACCAACCGCAGCAACCCAATCCTGGGTCGACTGAATCCGAGCACAGACGTTGGTCGACATCACGAAATCCGTAGGGTTGAAGCAGTAGGAGACGAGATCGCCGCTGTTGGAGAGACCCAGCGAATTGAGCTTGGCTTGGTAGTCGCGGAGGCAAGCGACGGAAGTGGGTAAATCGGAAAGATGGAAAACGGAAGTTTCTTTGAGATGGAGAGACAGAGAAATACCGAACAGGGAAAGCAGAGTCCGGCAGCAAGGGTCGCTGCTGACTATGTCGGATCGAGAAGTGGCGTTGTTGGGACTGGGTGCAGGGAGATTGTAGTTCTGACAAGAGGATCTGTTCCATGGGATTCTCGATACATAGTTGAAGTCCATTGGGCATGATGATGGCGGTGATGATGAAGCGCCGGCGCCGGCGGAGATGGAAAGCAGCAACCCAAAAGAGAGAAGTGCTAAATCAAGGCTGCTGCTGCAGCGACGGCGGCTGCCCATCTCTCAGCGATTCTGGGTTTCGTGGGTTTGGGAAAATGGGGATACATGGTCAACGAGAGAGTGGATTCTGGTTGTTGGTAGTGAAGACGACGGGGAACGGTGGCCGGGGTGGGGCCCGTTTTGTTGTGTGTATTATTGCGGGAAGCTTCAGCGCGCCAGAAGGGTCCCGTTGCGTGGTGTTCTACACGGGCACTGTTGGGCGCGTGCGGGATATTTTTATGTCTCGTTGTAAGAGAGAATCTTCATGGCGGCCACCTAGAATTGGTCAAACTTTAAAAGTCCAGATCAAGTATTTTAGCATAGTTAACATTTGCGTTTGGTTTTAGTCATAGTATGAGAAATCAAGATTCTGATTTTAGGAGAAAGGATAGAAGTAGAAGACTGATTAGGATTTAGGAAGTCATTTGCAGCAAACTCGGGGAAGGGTTGTTACTCCTGAAAGGGTGACATGAAGCTTGAGTACAATCAACATGATCGACTTTATGAGCAGATCGATCATTGATGACGAAATGTCTCGTAGCTTATCAACTAACCCCAATGAACAACCACATATTCACAACACAAATGATCAACGAACGATCACAGATACCATACCTTCGATTCCATTTGGCATGGTCCAGAGTTGGTTGAAACACGAGTTAGAAAAGACATTGTCACAATCTCGCAAGTAATACAAATTGGTGTTGTATATGTCGTGCGAATTGGCTTAATGTATCTTACCACAAGACATATAATCAAAATCAAGTTAGTAGTGGCATGTTCTCAATCTAAGAAAGCAAACAGATTGATCTATATTTAACAACCAGTGAAAAAATTTGCAGCCGAGAATCATATGTACTAAACTTGTTTGTCAGTGAACTGCTGCTACAACCAGAAGGATGGCTAGTAAATAGTAATCACCCAAGCCCCTCACCACTTTCGCCTTTAAACATGGCAACAAAAAAGTGCTATTTTCTTTCGGCATCAAATCTCAAACTACTGTGAGTTCAGTTTTCCAACCAAAAGAGGAGAAGACACCACATCTGACTCGAGCTTTCCCTATACATCCACCCACCAAGAAAGTAGAGCTTTCCTTCTGTAAAAGCAGATGATATGATCCTCCGAAACTCCAAGGATCGTTCTGTGGTGCTCTTACAATAGAAAAAAGCCTTTCTTTGAAAATTCAGAACTCCAATACCTTGATTACACACTTCCGCAGAACAGTTGCAGCAGGAGGCAAGCATCACACTAGTGGTAAACTCTGCATCATCAATCCTTGCAAATAATAGCTCCAGCGGTTAAAAAGAGTCGCTTCATTCCTACTCGTTCTTGATTGAGTAAAACTTGTCCGAGAGTGTTGGTGATTTTCCGATTTCACTCATCAGATTCTTGAATCGAAGGCTGTAATCACCACCACTGCCAACAAAAATAAAACGAAGAAAGAACTCAAAATTAAACAACAGCTACACTTCTAGAGAAAAAGCTAATTCCATCAGACGTGAACATGTTCCAAACTTTCGTAACATGGCGATGTGGATACGTCATCTGATACTCTTTCATATACACGAAATGGGAAAAGGGAAAGCCCACCTTATCCGATTAAGAGCAGCAATTGCCCGAAGAGCGCTGCGGATCATATCTTCATTACGGTCAACTTCTTGCTTCACAGCATCTTGCTTTGGCTTGAAATTGATCGTTTTTTGAAGAGGATCTACCAAAGAGTCCAGCACTGGATATTCAAACCACAATCAATCAGATGGTTTCGAGAATGTAAAAAAATTCAATAAATTCCATTGTTTAATTAGGCCTCACATACCTGCCAGCACAGCAGATGGACATTTATCCGCCAGTTTGGATAGGATGAGGTGGCAAGGCATCTTCACGTCATAATGATCTGCAAAAATCCAGAAAATTAGCCAATTGGCACTCGACCATTTGCATTCCATTAGCATAGAAACTAGTGGATTTATCTATCAAGAGTTTCTCTAACAGACTGAAACATTAAAGTCAGTTTGAAACAAATGAAAGTTCCACCACATATTGTAGGTCAGGCCCATTTATGAGGCATATCTCACTTAAATGGGAATAGGATATTCATGAGAGAATTCATTTAAGTACCTTCGAGGCCAGATTTCAGGAAGGGGACTATGAAGGATGATGGATTCACTTGATCCAGACAGCTTTCTAACAATGTATCTACACATTCAAAAGCAGCTTTCCTCAACTCCAATCCATCATCCACAATATGCTTGAAAGGCCCGAGATCAACCGTTCGTATTAATTCTTTCTGCAGAAAACAGAAGTTCAGAATTCAGAAGTTTGAAAGAAGAGAAACTATTATTGGCATGCTATAAGATTCAAGCTTTACCTTAACTACTGTCTGATCATAGAGAAGTGGCAATAGTTCAGGAAGAATTCCCTTGATCAGGTTGGGTTTATTGTGACCAAACGTACTCAAGGCCAACACAGCTGCACGCCTAACATGCTGCATATGAAATTACAGAGCAACAAACTGTCAAGGCTCGATAATCCTGGATCACTTACAAAGCCCTTTTAGTTTTTTCTTATGTCATCAAAGATGAGCTACAACATACCCGGTCATTATCCTTGATGAGCATGAGGAAAGAGGAGATCTCGGGAAATATAATTTCATCTATCTTCTCCGCCCTCTCAACTATAGAATATTTTACAGCAATCACCACTGTTGCTCTTGTAAAAGCTGCCGGACTAGTTGTTCTCACCTACAGTGATATGAAATACAATATGATTCAATCCTACTTGGCAGTAGGCTACAAATGAAAAAGTTTGCACAAAAAGCAAAGCAAGGAATCTTATAGTACCTTGAGAGCGGGGATAAGTTTCGCAGGTTCAATAAGAGCAATTTTTCCCAAGCATTCAGCGACAACATTTCGGACACCCTCTTCATCACTCTCACAGTGATTAAATAGTAGCTTCAGTATCTTTTCAACACTAGAATCCTGGAACTCTGCCTTATCAACTGATTGCCTCACAATAACCTACAAGGAGCAAAGAGTAGATGTTACTAACTGAAACACGTCACTTTTGTCACCCCTGTTAAAATTTCAGCAGAAAAGTCCCTAACGCATAGTAACTTACCTCTTTGAGAGAATGGAGCAATAGATACTGTTTCTTCTGCTGATTATCAATCTGGTCCAATATAAATGGTAGATACTTTGACAAATTACCGACAGCAATATTGCCAAGAGCATAGGAAGCAGCGGACTTAATCTCCTCAAAGGGAGACTGGAAGGACTCGATGATGATGGTTTCGATATGTGCATGTGCACTTAAATCTTTCCTTCTCCCTATTTCCCCCAAGCACAACAAGGCGACATGCTTCTTAGCCTAAAAGCAATCGCAGAACAGAGTGATAAATCAGGACTGAAATCAGAGCGAAGATAAATCTACTGGAAAACAGAACTCACAGAATTGGAACTACTATCGTCTTTGAGGATCTCTGTAAGCATCCTAACGGTCGATGTACATTTCTGATCTCCTGCAGCAAGGCAAAGCACTGCCACACATTGGGCTATTGAATACAATGCCTGTTTTGCAATTCCACCAGACTGAGGAGTTGGCTTAGCACTAGAAAGAAGTGAATCTAACAAAGCGTCGAAGCTTGTATTTGCAGAATACACCAAAGCAGCAAAAAAGTTCTGCAGAGCCTACAGAATGAGATATTAAAGGTTCAGAATCAACCACAATCTTTAAGATAATAACATTTATATCAAAGACGGCTTGACTCAATATATAAACATTAAAGGTTCAGCACAAAGCTTTCAATTGAGACAAATGATTCATAGGGATCAGCACAGTGTTTACCAAAAGGGCTTGACCCTGTAGCAATGAACTTTTGATCAAAGTTAAAGCTTGGGGGAGAACTTTATTTCTCACGGCCAAACCTATGCTCTGACTTGATCTGCTATCAGCCATTAAGGTGCAGCATAATTCAAGAGCAAGTGCTGTCATGTGCAAGTCTGAATCACTGGAAAATTAGGAATGGGAAAATCAGATGCAATCATAAGGGTTCTAATGATGTCCAAACTCAGCTTCACCAATTAAGCAAAGAAACAAATATTACAATCCTAGTGAAAAAGCACCTTATCAGTGTCGAAAGCTCCACAATAATGACTTCATAAGCAGATGAACCAATTAGATCACCATACGCAGAAACCAGCGAATTAAGTGTTCCTAGAGTCGCCAGCCGGAGCACTCGGTTGGCCTAAATAAAAGGCATAGTTCAGATCATTAATTTGCATAGAGATAGCTCCCCATAAAAAATAAATCTATGCAGCAGATTAACGCCATACCTTCCTCAAAAATGCTGTTAACTCCCCAATCACATGCTCCAAGACGCAAGCAAGATCAATCCGTAGAGGAGAGGTCGCAATAACTGCAAAAGCCTAAACACTTAACACTATAAGCAATCACAACAAGCAAATCAAAATCTCCAAGGCACATCTTTGTAATAGCTTAGAAGCCAATACTAACACATAAGTCCTTGTTGATTGTTTACAAAACTAATCATGGGCAATCATGCAGCACACACCTTCACAGCAGTAAGCCTAGTAATCTCATTCCCCATCCGGTCAATGAGAACAGGTAGACAAGCAGGTAACTCTGCTCTGAGGCTATCACCAAATGTTGAGATGACAAGTCCCATGCAAGAAATAGCACACTCTTTAACCTCCTGAGAAGAAGAAAGATAAAGAATGAATTAGTTCCATAAACACATCACCAAACCAGTACAACTCAAACTGATTCTACAAACCTGGTCTTGATCTTGGTTCGTCAAACGTGACATGATGGCTTTATATATTGGATGAACATAAGGTTGGAAGTCAAAACCATAGTCCTAAATCAGAAATCCAATTAGTCAATGT